GCATTTACCTAATGTTAAACGCATCTCAAAGATATCTACTTAAAAAAAAAAAAAAAAAAAAAAAAAAAAAAAAAAATTGTAGAGGCTAATAGTTGGTAAAACAAAAGTTAGACAGTAAAAATAGAATTTCACAAACTATTTTATTTCACAAAAGAAGAAATAAGAAAATGGGTTTAAACATTAAGAATATAAATAATAATGGTTATGAATGTCTTTATATCTGTTCGAAGTGCTTCGGCATAACAGTCAACAAATTACACAATAATGCTAAAATGCCTGTGGTAAATGTCATAACGTAAAAGAAGTTTTAAAATGTTTCCTGTTTCATGGAAATTTCAGTTTTTACTGTCAGTGGATATAAGTTCTCAAAGCTGTTTTCTCTGTGTAACGTTTTCAGTAACCTTTAACTATAATCGCATTGCTCTATTATTAATCCATATTTTGGAATAAGCAGACTAAGCAATTACATTAATATTCAGCCAAGAAATGTATTAAAAACAGCAATTCCAATTGCCATAATTAATATACGATGGTTATTTTTGTAAGAAATGTTAGTTTTGCAATAAAAACAAAACGAACAAAACGTGGTTTCAAAATACCATTCATTTTCTGAATTTACATACGATTTCGTGCTCCTTTTACATAACTTTTGTCAATTTACATATTTATCGTAACGAACAAATAGATTTTGGCTGCTTTCTCCTATAATTCTGGCGATGGGAATGATAACTAATTATCGCGATAGTTCTTACTTCTTCAGCAGTGATTTGGATTTCTTTCATGCTGTTCCCTCAGATCTCTTATTTGCGTGAATTTGGGTCTGAACTGCTTGCACCAGATCGTTGGTGTTTACAAATGGGTGCTGAAAATGAGATTAATCATGAACGTTTTCTGGATCTTTCCCTCAACAACCTAACCCATTTTCGTATTGCATTGTCACAAAAACTTCACATAAAATAGTAGAAATTAAAGGAAAAAATAAAGTGATAACACTGAAGCAAACTGAAACTCTTAGGAAAGATAAGAAAAAAAATAGAAACAATGCAATTTAAATACAGACTAAAATTGGAATCAACAAAACCTGAACAGCTAGAAAATTAAATTCATGTGATAAGTTTTTAGCATCTAGGTGAGTATTATTTCTATTTATCATGAAAGTTAAATATCCAGACAAAGTAAATCCTATTTGTCTTCAAAGCAATTGCAGGCAGTTATTTGAGAATAATTTTATTTGATCGTATGGAAATTCTCCATTCGGCCGAGTTAAGAGTTAATTTAAATTTATGTGCTTAAATACTGATAATGAGTGCTTCAACATACCTCATCTAACTAACCTTTAAGCAATAAATAAGAAGTCAATTCAATTAATTTTTGATAAATCTTCTAGAATTTTAATTTAACTATTCATTATGAAACTAATATTTTATAGAGAAAATTTACACACACACACACCATTAAAAAAAAAAAAAAAAAAAAAAAAAAAAAAAAAAAAAAAAAATTATGTCCATACTTTTCATGTTAAATTAAAAAGAAACCAGCTCATCTTACAATGTGCACCAGCTTATAAATAAATGTATTGTAGAATTAGAAAAATATTTGAAATTGTATAAATGACAAAGCACATTGGGGTTGTCTGCATAAGGAAAGAAATATCTTTATAAGTGAGCTTTCCAAGAGAAAATTATTCTTGTTTACGTTACATATGAAAAGAAGCCCGCCAGAGCGATCTTGCAGGAAGTAAATTGGCTGGAATTTTAATCCTTGCATAAGCGAAATTTTTATTCTTCCATAAGCGAAATTAACGACTGGAAATGGCAGTTGTATAATAATTGTTGTGTTGTCGATAATGTTGCTTACTGGCCATATTTTAAAATTTATTATTCTTGTTTCTTGTAATACATTTTTTCAGTAAATACAGGGAAAAAGTTTTTAAAAAGTGTCATTCCATTTTAGTTATTATTTTACTAGAATAACAGCTTTTAGAGACGTATTTTATTATATTTAGAAAAAGTTTGCCGCTTTGCTGTACTATAAATTCAGTGATCTAAAAATAATGTTTTTTCGCGTTAGTACTATTTATCGTCAAATAATGCTTCGTTCCATCTTCTTCTTATTATTTCTATAATTATTATTTGACATTTGAATCTAAAAATAGGTTTAATTAATGTACTTGCAATCAAATACCGAAAGAAACTTACTTCAAAAATAACTAAACTATTTACCGTTAGATGGCAGCACGAAAGCGATCTGAAATTGTGAGTTGGATTAGTGTTTGAGAGACGCGCGGAAATCGAGAACTGGATGCTGTTTTAACATTCATTTATTCATTCATAAAAAATTAAAAAAGGGGAAAGGGAAGGGGGATAACGAGGGAAGAAAACTTTTTAATGTAATCTAATACTAAACTTCTATAAACGAATTGTTTTATGCTTATAAACATAATCAAAGCATTATAAAATCATTAGAAATTAATTTGAATAACATGAGTTGGCAAGCTAGTTATAATTCTGAGAAACTTGAAAAATTAATTTGTTCGAAGTTATTCTAATGAACAGTCGTGTGTATGGCTGATAAATTTCAATGGAAAATAAATCAATATAAAAAAAAAACATTATATGTATAGAAAATTATTTATGCTAGAAGTAAGATAAATTTACAGGTTTGGATAAAAATTTTGTAAGTATTAAGTATTTAAGATAATACAACATTGTTTAACGTCTCAGTGATAGTAAATATATGTTAACTGCCACGAAACAAAACCAGATCTCGAATAAATAAGTATTTTGATGTTTAAGTAAACAAAACCAAACAATTTTGTAGTTGGCGAGAATTAATTAGTCTGCCCAACTAAAAAGTTATTTTCTTGACCTAATGTATTAAAGTGGATTGTCCAGATCAGCGGCTCTGAACCTGTGGTATGCTTGCCCTTAGGGAACGGAATGTCATAGTACGTGAAAAAATTATCAGTAATGGCGGAAAATACTATGACGAACTGTTATAAGAAATACATAAAAATATTCCGAAAGTTTAAATTTGGCATTGATTAACAATAATATCAATTTGACTATTTCCGATGCGCATGTTACTACCCGAAATTTACCTTTGTCATATTAATCGACTGTGTACGCATCATGTGTGTCCACTTCCTTTCTTGTTATCTCGCACCGTATCGTATACGGTGACTGTATTTTTAGCATTTAGTGAATAATCAAGTCAGTTATGTAGCTCTCTTTTCTTAAATTACTATATGCAGTTTGAACGACAAGTTTTATTTCATTCATGTTCTTTTTAATTTGTGAATTGTAAAATGTTTTTTATGTAAAAATGGATAAATAATTAAAAAGTAGACCTTTGCATAGGACAGAAACTACTTGTCACAAAGAGTCTGCAAAAGCAAATTTTGCGATACTACCCGTTTAAATTAGCTTGAAAAATCCACAATGATCAATGGCTTCAAGGAGTTGCACACTACGAATTCTTGTGAGAAAAAATGGCTTCAGTTTACGAACGAAGTCAAAGAGAGGGAGCATAAGAACCCACTTAAAAAGCCTACAAGGGTCGTTAAAGCATAATTTGTCCGAACGAAGTGAGAAAGTCTTTTGTATTTAATATCCTTTCATGAAACTTTATAGCAGCTTCAAAATTAACATTCTTTGAAAAAGAACAACTTATGCTTTTGCAGTTTAAATTGAAGTATTGTAAGATATATTGCGAGAACACTGAACACAAAGTTACAGGTTCTTGAGGAGAAGATTAGAGGTACTTTCTAATTACAATCTGCCTTATTAAGGTATATGCGAAATAATTAAATTTGGGAATCTATGGTCTATATCGATGATTTTCTAATTTGTACTAGTCAAGCCTCTCATCGATTCTTGGGAACAGCAGTTAAAAGTTGCAATTGCCTCTGCGCGATGCACACGTGTGCATTGAACACAACCAGTAATTTCGAGATTAAATTTTTTGTGCGAGAAAATTTTCACTTATTAGGGGCGGGGGGGGGGAATTTATTTCTATTTATTTCTTTCTTTTCACTTCATTTGCATAATATTATCAAAAGGAAAGGTAAAAGCAACTTTTGAAAAATAACAGAAGAGAAAGAGGAAAAGGTTGGGAAGATTAATCTAAATTCTGCTCACAGTACTTATTAAATGTTAAGGATTTGTGGTATTTAACGTTGCGAGTATCGGATTCTTTACTAGGAATATTACAATTAATCGTGATTATATAATTATCTTTAGTGTATCAATATACGTTAGTGAAGAAAATGCAGATTTGCACAAGCAAGTAGTATTAAAAGCGCTCAAGATATTTAAAACCATACCTGAATAGTATCTACATTTTTAAGCTTTTACGCAAAGTTACCAGTATATCGTTTCTATTGAACTGAAACTAAAGAGTAGAAAATTCACGTTTATGAAATCAGCTTGCTCGCCAAAGTGAAAGAATTGTAAATTACTTGCACCTGGTATTCTTTTTATACCATGTTTTTATTTAGACTCAAATATGATTTTTTAAAATATATTGCTGCAAAATTGGTGATTAAAATTTAATTTTCAGGGCATTAAAATCTCCGGAAAAGTTAAATGCGCATGAAAATTTATATTATATGTCTGCTGTATTTAGTTTTATAAATTTCAGTAAAAGCTTTTTGAAGATATAATATGGGGGTGGCGGAAGTACTGAATCTGAAAATTACCTTCATCTTTTACGGTTTATTTGAATTTGCGTTAAATATTTCTTGACCATGTACACATTTAGTTAGTGTTTTTAAGCGAATAATGAAAAATTAATTTAACATAAAATGATTTCTGCAGAAAAATATTATATATACTTCAAAATGTCACTTTATATACTTAGAAAAACACCCTGCAGGCATCTGACCCATTAGACGCTTAAAGGGTTAAATAATAAATTTATATATTTACATAACATTTATTCTACTTGATTTTGGCAATCAGTGTTGCTAGCTATGACATCACAAGTAAATAGACTACACCAGCTGCTTCTGGGGAATTGGAAGTTGTCGAGAATAGTGTTAAAAGGCCGATTGCTTCCAAGAATGCAACGCTATAATAACATCACTGAATGTATAAAAATGTGTGACAGAATTCTTCGGAGTAATAGCTGTCCACGAAATGACATTACAAAATCAGAATTTGTAAATTCTGAATTTATTTTGTCTTCCAAAAGCCTGTGTGAGTATATTTTTGTAATAAAATCTTTGTATGCCTTGTATATAGGTGTTAGCACTGGATTATGTGCAGTGGATTAGTATAGCACTCTTTGCATTAAAATAGTAACGTATTTAAAATAATCGTACTCATAACATAGTTATATATTCATGTGTAATTATAAAATATTCTATTTTAATTAATAATTAATTTTGAAATATTTCGGAAAATAAATGTGTATGGACTAATGAGATTCTTCGGATTTTGTGATGGTGCAATTATTACAAAAATATGAAATGTATGATTTCGAAACTATGCTTGCATAAATTGTATTTAAATTTTTATAATTTGAAGTGAGGAGGGCCTCTACGTTAAATTACTCATTAAATACTAAAACAGTTTTGATAATTTGCCTTGCAGGTATCTTGTGGTGAATTTCTGTAAATATTTAATCTGAAATATTTTAATTTGCTATTTCTTGGTAATTATTATGAATTTATAAAAGCAACAGCATCTATATGTTGCTAAAAATGAAAATATAAGGATAATAATTTAAATTGATTAATCTGTGCTCTTTAATGCATAACTATGTATCTTTAAACTTTAATATATGAGTGTTCCCTGTCGAAGAAACAAACATGGCTCTGTGCAATAAGATAGGTGTAATAAATAATATATATTTGTATAGCTTTTAAAATTATTTAAAATATTGATAAATATAAACATAAAAAATTCATTGGTCTTTATGTCTTTAACAAGATTACTTCTGAGAGCAGTACAACTTTTAATTGGTACAAAACTATCTCTTACACTGCTGACAGCAAAAGATAGGTATAATAATCAGAAAAACATAGGAAAGCAGTTATTATATATAGAGCAATATTTAACTTTACAGCCTAATATGTCCTTATTGCATATCAACTTAATTGCTATGCAATATCTTTTGATTTTTATTTTAGATGGTACTAAATGATTTTTACATAATATACGCTACATCAAATAGGTGGTCATTATTTCTCGATATTATTCCTGTGTACGAAAACACATGCATTAGTTTTCAGTTCGTACATTTCCGAAGAGTCTTACGTAATTTTTTATTCACTTGAGGAATATCATGTGCATCACATAACTTTGTCTATCTTAATGAAAAGATTCAACGGAATTTGCCTTAAAGTTAAATTATTTATTGTTTTTATCAATAACAGATTACATGTTTGTGAATTATTCCTAAGAATTATAATTTAAATTGGGAGTCTGTAAACTTACTTGCATCAGTCAAATTTTTTCACCACATAAATCTAACATGCGCTTCTTCATCCACTCTTTTTAAAGCTTACATGTAGAAGTGCACATTTTGATACTTTTAAGATCTCCAAGAGAAATGTACTAAAGTAAGAACACATGCGTAGAATTTATCGATGAACATTCCAGACATATTTTATAAACTTCCGAAATATTATGAAATTTCGTATAAAAGAAAGAATTTTCTTTTCAAGTCCTACTTTCAATACCTGCATACACTAAATATTTATCACTTTTCTAAAACTGGTTCATTTCACTGAAGTTGACAGTTTGTCTCCAAATAGGAAACTTAGTTTCTGAATATAAAGTAAATCAAATATGAAAATGATAATAACATGTGCAATTTTTTAAGGAACCGTATACAAGTCCTTTGTGGTCTGTAGTAAAACTTGTTTGCACTGAACATAAAAGAAAGTTTTGTTTTCAAATAGTGTTTTGAAGCCTGTTGCTCTTTTGGCGATATTGTGCACCTCAAGTTAAAAAAAAAAAAAATTGGGCATTCGAGTAAGTGTGCGCTTTTGAGTAAAGTATCCCAGATTTTTCGACTTGGCAGAGTTTATGCTTGTATCCGCTTTTAATACATGATACTTTCTTCATATAATAATAGCCACTTGTTTATCTAGTACCATTTTAGTTCGGCCTGAATCGAAATTCTGATCAAAATGTTGTCTGAGCGGTTGGGAAACATACATCCATGTTTAACGCGAAACAGGAGCTATTTTTTCTCTTCAGTGCTTTATTATAATCCAGATAATTCTTAATCGTAATTAATAATTTGGTTCCATGTATAACTATTTGTAGTAAGAAAAACACAGTATTCAGAGGTACTGCTGCGTTTTAGTTTTGAAATTTATTCGTTTATAGAAGGTGAAATGCTAGCTAGTTGTTTGTGAAACCACGCTTTCCAATGCGGCAGGAAAGGGCATTTGCTCTCTTGCGACTCTGAAAGTTGAAAACGTAATTCTGTGTGCCTGTGTTTTTTATATATATATATAATTTCAAGTTTAATTTTTTTTAGTGTGGTAATGTTTTAACTACATAAATACATTTATGTTACGAGTAATAGACGTCTTGATAATGGTGACTGAAGAGAGTGCTTTAACTATGAAAATCTATTTAATGCAATTTTTTAAAAGAATTTGAGACCTACTCATTTTGTGGTTAAATACATTAGCAAGAAAGCAGAAGAAATTTTTGCGTTTTTTTTACCAGTGTCTACAAATTTTTAAATATTTCAGCTTAATCTTATTCTGCTCTTTCTATTAAGTTACAAATAAAGAAACATGCTTGACATTTCAGAAGTATGCATCGCAGAAATTGATAAATTTTCCCTCATGTGAACGTTTACAAATTTGTCGTATTTAGCGTATATTCTCAGTAGCCCGAAATACTTATCCTTATGAACACAATTGTCGGCTAATCTTTATGGTAACAGGTAGTTTGGTGACATTTTGGTAAGGCGATAAAGGCTACTAGCTAGGACTTTAGCAGTGTACATGGATAAAGTCAAGAGTGTGCGCAATGCCATTTTTGTGCAATTCTGGGATGTTTAAGTGAAAATAGGTCGACGTGTACGTGGATACCGTGTATGTGCTATTCTTAAAAACGCGGCAAACAGTTTGCGATTCTGCACTTTCTCCCGATTTCGCACCTAATCTTCGTCATGATTAAGCACTTTTGTTCCATAAAAGTTCTAGCATAAGCGTAATTCAGCTAGCAGATTGTTGGAAATAAATGTTGAGTTAAAAAAAAAAAAAAAAAAAAGCCTTTACTTCGTGAGAACAAAATGGCGTCCAAACAAAAACTAGCAGGTTGCTGTAACAGGTTTGTCGCCAAATTTTCGCCAAAAAATCGCCAAGTTACCATAATCCCATGTCTCTTAACACTTGTTTTGACCACTCATTGGAAACAAATACTAATAAATAAATAATAGATGCTTTAAATCTCAACTGGCCCAACAGCAGCAGAGCGTTAAACAGCTGAACATTGGTAGTTCGATATCAGACGAACGGGCGTTCTCGTGTTTTTCCCCATGGATACAAACCAGTTTCTCTTAGAAAGCCCTCTTCAAAGGTACAGTGGGTACAAAAAGTATTTGCACACATACATTTTTGTTCACAATTTATAAGAAAATGCATTAAGAAATACAAAAATTGGCATTTAAAAATAGAATAAGCTTATTCATTTATAAATTAATTAAAAAAATACAATAATATTAATAAAAAAACATTTTTTGCAACAATATTAAAATAGCTTATGTCAAAAAAGTATTTGCACACTCAACTCAACTTTAGCAAATTTGCATTTTTATGCTATTATTTGACAGTCATCCCGCAGTAAATAACATACGTAAGACGACTATAAAAGGAGGTGTGTCGAAACGTTATCAGTTGATTGTCGATTCAAATTGTAATGGCACCTAAGAAATCTGAATTGCCGATTTCGTTGCGAGAAAAAATTTGTTCTCTACGTGAAAATGGCCTAAGTTATCGAGAAATAGGTAAAAAAGTAAATGTTTGCTTCTCTACTGTTCGGTATATTTATAAAACGTTATAAAGAAAGAGGATCTACATCAAATAACTTGCGCTCTGGACGCCCAAAGAAACTTTCACTGCGAATGAAGCGAAAAATTCATAAGAGAAGCATCAAAAAGTCCATTTGTTAGTGCAATTACTTTAGCCAATGATGTCGCTTCAACATCTGGAGTTCAAATCCTGTGCCCAAAGTGTTCGAAATGTCCTGCACGAAGCACACACATTTATGGGAGATCACCAAGGAAAAAAAAACCTCTCATAACTGAACGAAATAGTCTGAAGAGACTTGAATTCGCTAAGGAATATAACAATAAGCCAATTCATTTCTGGAAAAATGTCATATTCTCCGACGAGAGTAAGTTCAATATCTTTAAATCAGATGGCAGGAAAATAATTTGGAGAAAACCTTGTACTGCTTTTCATACCCAAAATGTGTTACCTACAGTTAAACATGGAGGAGGTTATGTTATGATTTGGGGGTGCATGGCTAGCAAAGGAGTTGGTAATTTGTGTTTTATTGATGGGAATATGATAGCTCGAACCTATATTGATGTGTTGCGAGATAATTTGCCACAAAGTGCAATAAAATTGGGTATCAGTAATTCGTACTATTTTCAGCAAGACAATAATCCCAAGCACACTGCCGGTATAACACGTATGTGGTTGCTTTATAATGTAACCAGAAAACTAAATAAGAAAAAGGAAGATTTCAAGCAAATCTTCCCTTAAATAAGCCCTTATTGAAGAGTGGTCGAATACTGACCCTACTGTTACAGAAAATTTAATTAAATCAATGCCAGCAAGATTACAAGCAGTAATAGATGCTAAAGGAATGCATACTAAATATTAGTTATTTGAAATTTGCTTATATATTTTATTTCTTTTGTATTCATGCAGGTGTGCAAATACTTTTTTGATACGAGATATTTTAATTTTGTTATAAAAAAAGCATTGTTATTTATATTATTGTAATTTTTCTGTTTGTTTCGGATGATTAAACTTATTCTGATTTGGAAATACCAATTTTTTTATTTCTTAATGCTTCTTTTTATGAATTGCAAACAAAAATGTAGGTGTGCAAATACTTTTTTTACCCACAGTATCCAATTCCTCCTTTGACTATAAAATACGCATGATGGTAAATCGTGTACGGGAAAATTCGAGCTAAAATTTTACTGTTTTCCTGAC